GAATGGTACAAACCAAACCACTTTTGAGAAAATAGTTATTTAAAATTCCCCCTATCAATTTTCTAATTGAAAGTTATGTCGCTAGAAAATATATGATTTATGCAATCTTGGATTTTTAGTAAGATTTCTCAACTTTATTTGTTGTCAATATTTTTGAAAGGCCAGATTAAAATCAAAGCATCCTTGGGTTTATTTCAAAGGCCTCATCTATACATCATTATGAATATCCATCACATTTATTTGACTCAGCTTCTTAAAAGATAGCTTCGTCTTCACTCTTTAAGTTTTTAGAGAAATGTCTGACCCTGCTGAGCCAACCAGGGAAAATTTTCTATATATGGTCATTTTTGAAGTACATGTAATTGTTTACCCAGTATTGACAAAAGCTAAACATTATTTAAACTTGTATCATTCAGTCACGCTTGGTTTGAATTCGTTTATGGCGCCGGCAGCCACCAGCAGTGGGGTGGGGCCGGTGAACTGAAAATTGTCTTAACCAATCAGAGTTACTTTTTAACTAAGCTCTGCGGTCAGGGTTCATTATGGAAATTTACCATAACTATAAAAGTATACCTTTTGTAGAGTTCAAGTACCTCTTAAAAAATGTTCATCCTTCTAATCCTAGCTGAGATTCATTTAAATTGAGTAAAATGTAAAATAAATAACAAAAATAAAACAAAACAACTCATAGACATCTTAGATCTTATCAGTATCATAATGATATGCATATTTACGTCAAAAAATATTTTAAACTGGTGATGTTTCTTTGTAAATTATTAACAGAATGAATTTTAACTGCTTTAACAAATGTTTGCCATCCTTTTAGTATTTACTACATATCCATAAAATTTGAATCATTCTAGTTTAAAGAATCGTTTACAAATCATTGTTTGAAGCATAATATGTGGATGCGAACTTATCTTTAAAATGAGATTACGTGTGGGAAGATTTAGATATTTCATCATATACATGATCGTGGTTTCAATATACGTGCTGGGTCAGATTTTCATCAATGTTAACATTAAAAAACATGTTCTGGACCACGTCATACTGCGTTCAGACTATAATGTCTCACTTGGACAAAATCAATTAAAGAATCAAGAGCTGAACATACAGAAGACCAATGCATATGAGATAAGACAGTACGATCTCCGAGTGATAGTTCTCACGGGAAGCCGTGGGAGCTCTTTACAAATCTGCTTGGATTCACTCAACAATGCGACATACAATGGTGATCAAATATTACTAGAGATCTGGATAGACAGAGACAAGAAAAACAAGCTGGATGAAAAAGTATTTGAAGTTGCTGACAAGTTTAAGTTTATTCATGGTAAAAAGGAATTGAAGGTCCATCCTGAGCATGCAGGGATACACAAGCAATGGATTGACTCTTGGATTCCCCCTGAAGACAATAAAGAAATCGGACTCATTTTGGAAGATGACATTGATGTATCGAAATATTTCTACACCTGGTTGAAAAAAGCGTATGCTATATATGGCACAAGGTCAGATGTGGCAGGAATAGGACTTTCAACTGTTATGCCAGATTACTTGGCATCAACTAAAATCAAAGCATGTAATGACAAGAAAAGACATAAAAATGCTGAACACTGCGAAGTAAGGGCGCCATTGTCACAAACCATATACATGTATAGAATAGCTACAACATGGGGGTTTGCACCTAATGCCATCAGCTGGCGGAAATTCCAAAAATTTTATCATGCGAAAAAAAATTCTACAATTTTCAAGCCAAATGTACCAGGTATTCGCCATACACAATGGTATGCCACATATGGTGAAACAATGTGGTCAATATGGCATGTATATCATATGTACATCAACAAACTTTACTGCATATTTCCCAATCTGCCAAAATATCAAAAATTTGGTAACCATCGGAAGGAAGCAGGGGACCATACTACGAAGAGGACGCATGAATATTGGGCAAAAAGTCCATATAACACAATAGTGAAAACATGGAATGAAACATTCCTCGATATGCCCTTATATCCAGCTAAAGTAGACTATGATGGGACACTAAAATATTAGAAATTGTATCTTGACATTACTAAACCAGTCTCATGTGAACAATAGGATGAATAAATGTGCATTATAAGGATTTTAATTTATAGGCTTACAGCATTAAAAACTGAGGCTATAATTGGAGGGAAGGAATATGGGTTTTATTCTACAGGACACTATGATATTTATCAAGAGAAGTAACATCGACCATTGACCAAAAGTACAAGGAAAAAATATATCGACAGAATATGAAATCATATCAATTTGTTATTTTGAAAGTCAACATCATACTATCTAATAAGTATCATTTCATATTTCATTCTCAAAAACATGTGTGATAGGGAATCCAATATTAGATTCGGTGGTTGTATCAGTCATATCCAATCAGTCATATTCATGACAATATACAATAAATGCATATCCAAGTTGTTTTATCTGATTTATAATAGTGTCAGAACAGCACAGTAATGATGACAATACAGATGTAACAAACGTGGTAATGTAGAACTGCTGTGTAGAGCAACGATTCCCTCTAATGATACTCATTAATAACATTGTCTCCATGCCGGATCATGGTTGAGTGAGAATGTGGATCATAGTTATTCTAGTGCTGTGCCACATAAATTTTAATTCAAATCAAGATGGAAGAATAAAATTCAGAGGAAATAATACAATTAAGCATAATAAATCTATATAAGGCACTAACATGCAAATCATCTCATAGTTCAAAAAGTTCAACCAACCGTGGAAATATTTTAGATATTCATATCCAGTTTTGTTTTTTTGGCCATGGCCGCGTTTTCCTGTTCTTTCAGTATTTTATTCATCTACATTTATTTTCTCGAATTTTTGATCATTTGATCATTTTGAACAGGATAATCCTTCCCTTCCCAACGAACAGATCACAATTATATTTTTTCTCCATTGTTGTTTACAGTTATCATGCGAACGTTACAAAAAATGAACCAATATGCGAACAGCAATTATGATGATAGCAGGTAGATATACTATATCTGCCCGCTCAGAGCGGGACGTAAAGCTATTTTTTTTTACAAACCTGCTTTGTGTACCTGTAACACGTCCAAGTATTGGATAAATAGATTTACCCAAAGTCTTATAGTTACTGAGAAAACGTGTAGATAAGAATAATAAGAATTCGGGCAAAAACAATAGACTCTCTAATAATAACAAATAATAACAAGAACACAAATGTGTACAAAATGTCCCCACCTGGTGATCCCGTCAAATAGTTATCCTAAAAATGAGTAGACAAGACTTTACCGACACAATTTGAGGACGGAAAATCCAAAATGGCCACCTTAAAATTTACCCAGAATGCCAAAAATAAGTCAGTTTTAGATTTTAACCTTTAGCAGACCACCGGCTACCGCGTCCGCCCATTCAAAATTACCGCCAGAATCCACCGGCGGATCCGGACGACACAAATCTAACTTTTGAAAACTTAGTGTTTTAGTGAACAAATCGTACAAAATGACGGCCAAATACGATCACAACGAAAATGTGGAGGAAATGGATTGCGATTTCGAGCTCTTTAGGCTCTTGGAAGCCGATAATGGTCATCGAAAATAGAAACTAGAATATTTTCTGAACTGAAAAGAAGAACATTCAATCGCTGCAAATTCAGTTTTGGATTCTGACCAGACGTTGAATCTCCCGAGGGGCGAAACGGCGGATTCCGGAGGAGTATTCATGGTATATTTATGCCCAGTCGTGTTTATGTACGAAAAAAATTCATGAGAACATATTTCTCATGAGCCACGCTAGTGTATCTTCCCTTTGTGAAAATTTTATCCAGATTCATTCAGTAGTTATTGAGATATTAATTATTTAGTCCAGGCATATCATTTTTGAAAAATAAGTCAGATGCGTGGGATATATTTGCTGAAATAAGTCGGAGTGCAGAAGGTTAATACTAAGAACCACCCCTGAAAATTTGAAATTGATCCATCACACAGTTAACCAGAAAACATGTTAACAAAACTTTATAGACAAGATTTGAGGACAGAAAATCCAAAATGGCTGCCTTGACATTTATCCAGAATGCCAAAAAACTAATCTGTTCTGAATTTTCATACTAAGAATCATCCCTGAAAATTTGAAATTGATCTACCAAACGGTTCACCTGGAAATGCGTAGACAAGACTTTACAGACAAGATTTTAGGACAGAAAATCCAAAATGGCTGCCTTGACATTTACCCAGAATGCCCAAAAACTAATCAGATCTAGACTTTCATACTAAGAATCATCCCTGAAAATTTGAAATTGATCTACCAAAAGGTTAACCTGGAAATGCGTAGACAAGACTTTACAGACACGATTTTAGGACGGAAAATCCAAAATAGCTGCCTTGACATTTACCCAGAATGCCCAAAAACTAATCAGATCTAGATTTTCAAACTAAGAATCATCCCTGAAAATTTGAAATTGATCTACCAAACGGTTCACCTGAAAACGCGTAGACAAGACTTTACTGACAAGATTTTAGGACGGAAAAATCCAAAATGGCCGACAATAAAAAAGTGATGATGAGTTTTTGCTGATCTCTTTTTACAAAATTATCACATATAACTACTGTTAACAATAACAGGCTTTTACAACATAGTACACCTGAAATTATTTATAAAGCTACTAAATAGTTAAAGTATGAAAACTGAAAAACACCATTCAATATGATACAAAGTATTATCGTGCGCTAACTTTTCTTCAAACATTCAAAATGGCTGACATGACTGAGCTAACAGGTCCAAAACCTAATCAGATCTAGAATGAAGTGAGCTGAACAAGATTTTAAAGTTTTAAAAGCAACTGTGAAGCCATTTTTCTTAAAGTTTGCAGACAAGGATTTTAGCATTTGACTTCAAAACGGCCGACAGGAAGTAGCTATCGAGCTTATTTTTTTTCATCCACATCTATATGCACTCATAAGTTATCCCTGAAAATTTGAAGATGATATCTGTAGCGGTTTTGGAGAAAACTGCTGGACGTTCGGACAGACGGACAGACAGACGGATGCACCTAGGCCGACAATATGGCCCCACACTATGTGGTGGGGACATAAAAAGAAGATATATTACACTAAAATGTTTAAACTGGTGATGTTTCTTTGTAAATTATTAACCGATTGAATTTTAACTGCATAAACAAATGTTTGCCATCCTTTTAGTGTTTACTACATATCCATTGAATAATTCTAGTTTAGAGTTAAAAAACTTACAAAACAATTCTTTGAAATGTAATATGTGGATGCGAGCATAGCTTTAAAATGAGATTACGAGTGAGAAGATTTAGATATTTCATCATATGCATGATCGTGGTTTCAATATATGTGTTGGGTCAGATTTTCATCAATGTTAACATTAAAAAACATGAACTGGATCACGTCATACTGCATTCAAACTATAATGTCTCACTTGGACAAAATCAATTGAAGAATCAAGAACTGAACATACAGAAGACCAATGCAAATGAGATAAGACAGTATGACCTCCGAGTGATAGTTCTCACGGGAAGCCGTGGGAGCTCTTTACAAATCTGCTTGGATTCACTCAACAATGCGACATACAATGGTGATCAAATATTACTAGAGATCTGGATAGACAGAGACAAGAAAAATCAGCTGGACCAAAATGTATTCGAAGTCGCTGACAAGTTTAAGTTTATTCATGGTAAAAAGGAATTGAAGGTCCATCCTGAGCATGCAGGGATACACAAGCAATGGATTGATACTTGGACACCCCCTGAAGATAATAAAGAAATCGGACTCATTTTGGAAGATGACATTGATGTATCGAAATATTTCTACACCTGGTTGAAAAAAGCGTATGCCATTTATGGCACAAGGTCAGATGTGGCAGGAATAGGACTTTCAACCGTTATGCCAGATTACTTGGCATCAACTAAAATCAAAGCATGTAATGACAGGAAAAGACATAAAAATGCTGAACACTGCGAAGTAAGGGCGCCATTGTCACAAACCATATACATGTATAGAATAGCTACAACTTGGGGATTTGCACCTAATCCTATCAGCTGGCGAAAATTCCAAAAATTTTATCATGAGGAAAAAAAGTCTACACATTTCAAGCCAAATGTACCAGGTATCCGCCATACACAATGGTATGCTAAATATGGTGAAACAATGTGGTCAATATGGCATGTGTATCATATGTACATCAACAAACTTTATTGCATATTTCCCAATCTGCCAAAATATCAAAAATTTGGTAACCATCGGAAGGAAGCAGGGGACCATACTACGAAGTGGACGCATGAATATTGGGCAAAAAGTCAATATAACACAATGGTGAAAACATGGAATGAAACATTTCTAGATATGCCCTTATATCCAGCTAAAGTAGACTACGATGGAACACTAAAATATTAGAAATTGTATCTTGACATTACTTAACCAGTCTCATGTGAACAATAGGATGAATAAATGTGCATAATAAGGATTGTGTATATAGGCTTTCAGGTTTGAAAAAGGAAGGAATATGGGTTTTATTCTTTAGGACACTATGATAATTATCAAGAGAAGTAACATCAACCATTGACCAAAAGTAGAAGGAAAAAATAAATTGACAGAATATGAAAAAATTTGTTATTGTGAAAGTCAATATCATACTATCCTATAAGTATCAATTCATATTTCATTATCAAAAAAATATGCGTGACAGGGGATCCAATATTAGATTTGGTGGTTGTATCAGTCATATTTAATCAGTCATATTCATGACAATATACAATAAATGCATATCCAAGTTGTTTTATCTGATTTATAATAGTGTCAGAACAGCACAGTAATGTTGACAATACAGATGTAACAAACGTGGTAATGTAGAACTGCTGTGTAGAGCAACAATTCCCTCTAATGATACTCATTAATAACATTGTCTACATGCCAGATCATGGTTGAGTGAGAATGTGGATCATAGCTATTCTAGTGCTGTGCCACATAAATTTTAATTCAAATCAAGATGAAAGAATAAAATTCAGAGGAAATAATAGAATTAAGCATAATAAATCTATATAAGGCACTAACATGCAAATTGTCACCACCTGCCATTAGTTACAGACATCAAACTTAAAATGTTGAGTGGAGGACTCCAAACACCATCCACAAAAATGTTGAAGACAATAACAATATATCTCCATTTATTGAGATATTTGATTAATATCTCAGTAATGGAAATTTCAGTCAAGGCAGGTCTTGGTCAAGTCTGTTGGTAGTTTCTCTAAATCCATCCGAAATCCATGAACTAGATTTCCTCAGTTTGTGTAATCAGTAATGGTGCATTAAGTTGTGATACCTCTCTCCATGCAACTGACCTATCCATATGTAATAATATAAGATTAGAGGAATTCAATTCTGATACTCATCAAATGTTTCTATTTCTGGCTGAGAAGAATTGAAATGTCATGGATCAAATGGATCAATTCAGTTGTTTAGTATGAGTTAGAATGCGATGACCATCATCCAGATTAGCCGAATTCAATGAAAATGTGTTCTAATAGGTTGATTGACAATAGATAGGTCGGCTGGTCGTCATTTGACATACTAATGAGAGTGGATCAATTGAGTAGCCTCGAGGGAAAAACCGAAACCATCAAGATACTTTTAGATATTAGAAAAGTGTAATAAAAATGATTCCAAATTACTCAACGGGGAAATCAAGCTATTGTCAACGGGAGTGGTAAGGTTGTTAATAAAGGACTTCTTGTTTATAAAGGTCAGTCAGAAACTTTGTCGGGCCTCAATTAGTGGGCCTTTAAGGCATAAGTTGGCCTTTTTTTGGCCATTTTAGGCCAAATTATCAAAAAATGGGCCTTAAATTTTTAAAATGTGAGCCCAATTTTGGGATTTAGTGGCCCAAAATATGCCCCCCCTTGTTAGCTTCTGGATTCACCAGTAAAAGTGCAAATATATTATTGCATGGGGTCTCTAAGATTATTTTGATAAATGTAAATGTCTTGTTCAGCATCTTAACAGCTTCATCTTCAAAGGAGGCAACAACAAAAGCATCTAAAAAGGTATAAATAAATATGCTATTCAGATCATTTCTTCTTCGACACATACATAACATGAACTTCTGAGACTTCTGAGAAAATTGCATTAAATGTCACTCAAAATTGAAACTTCTGAATGGCTTTGGAGGCAAAATCTCACAAACTGAGCAAAAGCCAAAATTCATTTTTTTTGTTGAATAACCTCACAACCTTTTTGCCCATATAGGGGAGCGTCAATTTCTGGATTGTTAATGTATAAACTCCATCTTTTTGCCTATTTACAGAGAATGCCATTAGCAAGAGTGAACAGTTAGTGTCGAAATTTTGAACTGAGTTTTTCCTCGATTTTTCTACTCGATTTCTCTGTTATGAATAGACATATTTGCACCATTCTTTTTTCAGAATTAAGATATGAACAGTATACATCTTTATGCACTAACTAAGTTATTCTATTTAACCGAAAAACAGGCATTAAGCTTTGATACTAAACACGTGTGCGAGCCTTGGGAGCCTCTCAAGCGTGAAAACACCCTTACCTGGTGTTAAACCTAAAATTACAGCTAATATCCTGAATCGGTTAAAGGTGGGGTCTGAATACCCGCCCCACCTGCGATACCTAAAGGTGCCCGTCCGGGTACCTGATACCTGAAAAAAGGTAAAAAGAGGGAGGAAGAACAGGGGAGGAGGAGGGAAAATAAAATCACTCTTACCTCTAAATTTATGCTGAAAAGCGATGAAAATAATGGAAAACTTGCTTCTAATAAATCAGTCAGGATCAAGCAGAAGAATGGCGGAAAATCTGAGGTGACGCTATCTGTGATTGGCTGAAGCTGGTCACGTGACTTCTTACGTATGCAACACCTCGTAATCTTATTGGAGGAGAATGATGGATAATAAACACAAAAATAAAATCACTCTTACCTCTAAATTTATGCTGAAAAGCGATGAAAATAATGGAAAACTTGCTTCTAATAAATCAGTCAGGATCAAGCAGAAGAATGGCGGAAAATCTGAGGTGACGCTATCTGTGATTGGCTGAAGCTGGTCACGTGACTTCTTACGTATGCAACACCTCGTAATCTTATTGGAGGAGAATGATGTCATCCTAACTTGGGAAAGCTGAACAAGGTGGAAGCACAAGAGGTAACTCCCCAGAAACACACACAAGAGAGACTCCCTTAGCTGTTCATAAATACAATTATTTTGCTCATAATTGTGGTTTAACAATCTTTTGATGATTAGATTAATTAACTGATATTGGTAGAAATTCAATAGTAAAATATTTTTTGGAAAGTTTAGGAAAAAACCTCCTTATTATATAAAAGTAAATTTCCATGAGTGTGATACATGTATTATAAAGTTATATGTCTAAGTTGATCGATTGTGAGATGTCATGTTTTTGCTTACATTATAAACTTAATAAAGGTAGTTCGTATTTCCACTGTTGAGTTTGATAACATATCCAGGCCTATAATAATAGAAAACTCATCCAATTAGGATATCCTTCCAATCTATTGCATGTCTCCATGGCTCTGTAACCCCAAGTCTGTAACAATTCAACGTGAAAAATATATGGTGAACATGCCAGATCGGCCATTATAATCTCAGGAGGATTATGAGCATTTGAATCAATACCAGGGTAGAAAAACACTGAAATTGATCAAAGAGAGACAGTATTTTATCATAATCCTCAGATGCAGAATAGTAATCTATTTTCTCGCCATAAATCTATGATCAAGCTAAACGAAAATAAACGTTGCTTCATAATGATGTTGTTTTAATTTCTTAAGGCATTTTCTATGGTAATCGAAGTATTATCTAGGGCTCACTTTACTTTCCGTTTGCTCATTAAGATATACCACATCTTTGTAATATTTCTTCATTTATAAAAACGTTATCGATTTTCATCAGATCGCCATATCTATATCGCAATAATTCTCTAACAGTGTATTACTGAATGTCAAAAAAACTATTTTTGCACTTGTAAGGTCCCAGATATAACAGTGAAAACAAGAACACAAATGTGTACAAAATGTCCCCACCAAGTGGTGATCCCATCAAATGGTTATCCTGAAAATGAGTAGACAATTAGACTATACCAACACAATTTGAGGACGGAAAATCCAAAGTGGCCACCTTAAAATTTACCCAGAATGCCCAAAATTTAGTCAGTTCTAGATTTTCATACTAAGAACCACCCCTGAAAATTTGAAATTGATCCTTCACACAGTTAGCCAGAAAACATGTAAACAAGACTTTACAGACAAGCTTTCAGGATGGAAAATTCGAAATGGCTGCCTTTACATTTACCCAGAATGTCAAAAAACTAATCTTTTTGTAGATTTTCATACTAAGAATCATCCCTGAAAATATGAAATTGATCTACCAAACGGTTCACCTGAAAACGGGTAGACAAGACTTTACAGACAAGATTTTAGGACAGAAAATCCAAAATGGCTGCCTAAACATTTACGCAGAATGCAAAAAAACTAATCAGATGTAGATTTTCATACAAAGAATCATCCCTAAAAATTTGAAATTGATCTATCAAACCGTTCACCTAAAAATGCGTAGACAAGACTTTACAGGCAAATTGTTTTAATACGGAAAATCCAAAATGGCTGCCTTGACATTTACCCAGAATGCAAAAAAACTAATCAGTTTTAGATTTTCATACTAAGAATCATTCCTGAAAATTTGAAATTGATCTACCAAAGAGTTCACCTGAAAACGAGTAGACAAGACTTTACAGACAAGATTTTAGGACGGAAAATCCAAAATGGCTGCCTTGACATTTACCCAGAATGCCAAAAAACTAATGAGATCTAGATTTTTATACTAAGAATCATCCCTGAAAATTTGAAATTGATCCACCAAACGGTTCACCTGAAAACGCGCAGACAAGACTTCACAGACAAGATTTTAGGACCAAAAAATCCAAAATGGCCGACAATATTTTATTTATTTATTTATTGATTTCTCAATTCACCCCAGGGTATAAGAGTACAAAAGACAAACTTAACTAATACAGTAACAAACATTAAAATAACATTTATATACATGTAAGAACATTTTTTTGCCCAGCCTCGATTAAAAATTTACAAAGTTTTATGAGTATATTTTTGTTTGAATTCATTAATTTCTCAAACTTCTGTGTGTTTGGTCTTGTGGTATAACATTTAGGAAGGTATCTTTTTCTAATATAACTTAAAGCTTTGCATTCTAAAATGACATGAAATTCATCACCTATTCCTTTACCACATAAATCACAAAACCTATTTTCCCTAGGAATATTTTTATAACGTCCTTATGAGTTTATGCTGATTTCTTTTTACAAAATTATCACATATAACTACTGTTAACAATAAAGTAGGCTTTTACAACAAAGTAAATCTGAAATTATTTATAAAGCTACTAAATAGTTAAAGTATGAAAACTAAAAAACACCATTCAATATGATATAAAGTATTATCATGGCTAACTTTTCTTAAGACATTCAAAATAGCTGACATGACTGAGCTAGCAGGTCCAAAACCTAATCAGATCTAGAATGAAGTGAGCTGAACAAGATGTTAAAGTTTTAAAAGCAACTGTGAAGCAGTTTTTCTTAAAGTTTGCAGACAAGGATTATAGCATTTGACTTCAAAATGGCCGACAGGAAGTAGGTTTCGAATTAAATTTTTTTCATTCACATCTATAGCCACTCATAAGTTATCCCTGAAAATTTGAAGGTGATATCTGTAGCGGTTTTGGAGAAAACTCCCGGACGTACGGACGGACGGACAGACGGACGGACGCGCCTAAGCCGACAATATGGCCCCACACTATGTGGTGGGGACATAACAAAAAAGTGTTAAAAATTGGCATTTTTCATGTAATTGAACATAGCTGAAACTAAATGTATTCTATTTATTTGCTCATCATTTTATGTATTCTAAAATATAATGCCTTTATATGAACTATGTCAGCA